TGGCAAACTTGGTTGGGTTCTCCGTGGGAGCTGTGTGGTAACTCAACGAAGATTTCGGCATCAACAGGTGCGTAGAGGAATGCGTTGGCGACGTCGATTTGTCGCAGCTTCTTTTTCTTCATGGCGGTGATCGCGAGGATGATTCGAAGTGAGGTATGTTGGCTAACCGGGGCGAATGTCTCGGTGAAGTCCCGTCCGTGCTCTTGGTTGAATCCACGCACAACCCAGCGTGCTTTGAACTTCTCAATTGTTCCATCTGCTTTTATTTTAACGCGGAAGACCCATTTCCCGGTGAGGATGGTTTTGTTCCTTCCCACGCTGATGGGGACAATTTTCTAGGTGTTCCGGTCCTCCAGCGCCTTTAACCCTTTGTCCATGGCTTCACGCCATTTCTCCCTGTGTTCCCCCCCCAGAGCCTGCTAAACCGTCGCAGGCTCCTTAGGAATGGTGTCTGCGTGGACCGCGGTGACAAGGCCGAGTATCTGCAGTCCAGTTTGTGAGTAGCGGGGAAGATTTGCGTCCTCGGGATAAGCTGCTTCATCTCCCGCTTCTGGATCTGGTAAGAAATTTGGTCCTACTCGTTCTGCTTCATTGGTGTTGACTGTCGCAGGTGTTACGTAACCGTTGTCGGCGAAGTAGAAGAAGGTTTTGGCGTTGACGCTTTCGCGAGGGTTGTCTTCGTCCATGGGAACGTCGACGGAGCAGAACGGTAGAGTTCCGGCTTCTTCTGACGCGTTGTCCACATTTTGCTCGTCCCAGTCAGCTTTGTCTTCTACGGAGGCGAAGGCTCGGTCTCCACGAAAACCACCTGTGGAATCTTGGTCCTCTTGCAGGTTGGCAAGGTATGTCTGGAGTGTGAGTCGTTCGTAGAAGATGACGTCGCGTGCTGCTACTGTTTCCTTGGAGTGGATGTCGGAGATTTTCCATGCGTTGTAATTCTTTTCGATGCCGAGGTGTAGTCCCCACTGTGCGCGTTGTGAAAATCTTCCTGCTCGTGCTACTGGGGGTCGGTACTGTACCATGCATCCGAACACTCGTAACATTTTTGTGCTACCCTGTTTCTCTGTCCACAGCAGATGCGGTGATGCGTTGTTGGGAAGCGATGATGACGACAGCAAGTTGTGCAGCATGACAGCGTGGTCCATTTCTGCAGGCCACTGGTGGTTGGGTAGCCGCATGCCACGCAATAGTTTGCGCATGCTATTCTGCAGAGTCCTGTTCATTCTTTCTGCTACGCCTTGCTGTTGATGTGCATAGGGAAGGGAGAGTAGCTGCTTGATGCCTCTTTCTGCCAGGTACTGCTTGAAGCGTTGAGAGGTGTATTCTCCTCCTCCGTCTAACTGTAAGCTTTTCAGCTTTACCCCTGGCTCTCTCTCTGCTACTGGTAGCCAGGCAGCGAACGCTGCGAGGGCCATGTCGCGGCTGGGTAGGTTTAAGTGCCAGACGTAGCGGGTGGCGGCGTCGATGAACGTGATTGTGTAGTTGTAGATTACTTGTCCTGGCTCCCGATTGTACAGGATGTCGCTGTACACCTTTTCGAGTGGTGCGTACGCGGGTGCGCTCGGGTTGTGTCGAGGAGCGAAAGGCCGATGCGGTAAGTCGGCTTCGGGGCAGATGAGGCATGTTCCTCGTGCTTGTTGAAGTTCTCTTCCGTCGAGTAGTAGTAACGAGTCTTTGTCAAGGACTCCTGCTCTTATAGTGTTGTTTAACACAGTGTTGCTTGCGTGTCACATTCTTGCATGCCAGGTACTTTCGTCGGCGCGATGCCCGGGTGATCGCCGGTACATGTTGGAGCTGGAGTAAAAGCTGGCGATGAAGTTGGCGCTACGATGAACTTCTCGTGGTGCTGGGTGGAGCTGTTGTGCTGGCGTTGGCGGTGTTTCATTGACGAGGATTGGAGTCGTTGTTGCTGCTGCTCTTGTTGTTCCTGCTGCTGCCGATGTTGTTTCTGCTGCTGCCGATGTTGTCTCTGCTGCTGCCGATGCTGTCTCTGCTGCTGCCGATGTTGTTTCTGCTGCTGCGGATGTTGTCTCTGCTGCTGCCGATGTTGTCTCTGCTGTTGCCGAATGTTGAATTGTTACTAACACGCGTGTTCGTTCTACTTCAGGAATGGTATTTGAATACCAAAAGCCTTCCGGACTGAAGTCTGGATCAAGATCTGGAGGGTGTGTCCAGTCAGCGAAATTCACGATGGCGTCGCTGCCTGCGGTGCCCAAGTCTGGGACGAAGTCGAGGACGAAGACATTGTTCTTCAGGACCGCCTTTCCGATGTAGAGGCTGCACTTCTCGTGGTACAGTTTGAACTCCTGGGTGATACTGTAGGCTTCCAGGTGTATGCCTTTCGCCATCAACTGACTGACACTTAGTAAGTTGTAGCCGATTCCCTCCGCGATTAGTACCTTTGACATCTGTAGTATGACGTTTGTCTCTCATGACTGAAGTTGTACAATTCCTTGTCGTCGTGTGCGCAGGTTTTGGTTGTTGGCGACTGTGATGACAACCTCTCGTTGAGGTCGGTGCTCTCGTTGAACGAAGCGTCCCGAGGAGCACATGTGCTGTCCGTAGGAACTGTCCAAGAACCATGTGTCCTTTCCGGACGGCTCGCTTTGAGCGATGGCGGCGTACGTCGGGTTCGGTTGAAGTGACTCGTGGCGAGGCGTGCTGATGTCGAGTTGTTCTTCTGGTGAGTAATGTGGTGGTGACTCAGTTACGCAGGAGTCGCTTAGTCTTGCCATGCAGTTGACGATGTTTCTTGCTTCTTTTCCAGGTTGTCTTGTCGATGTTGTTGACACTTGTACCGAGGTTGTCGGATTTGCTTGTGTTGAGGCAACTTGACTGCTTGAAGGACGAAGTTGACGTTGCGGCGTCGTTGACTGTTGTCGATTCGGGCATTGAGTACGAGGATGCCCTGAAGTCTTGCAGATGTGGCAGAACGGAGGTACTGGCTTCGGTTGTCGTTGCCGGTTGTTGTTGTTGTTGTTGTAGCGTCGCTGAGTGTGGAACGCGAATTCGGGTACTGATGTCTTTTTCTTGTGTCGTTCTTCTTGCAGGTCCATGTCTTGCTGCTCCGCATGGATTTCGGCGCAGAGTGCTGCTTCGGAGATTCTCCCGTGTGCTCGTAGTATGGCGTGAGTGGAGCGCCAGTGAGGACCAAGACCGCCGATAACAACCGTGACGAAGGCGTCTTCTGAAATCGATCCTCCACATCGAAGAAGCTTGTCGCGCAGCTCGCGGCAGCGACTGATATACGCCATTCCCTTCTCGCCTGATTTCATCTCGATTGTTGTCAACTGCGCCATTAACCGACTTTGGTTTACGCTGTCTGTTGCTTGATACAGGTTCTTCAAGTGGTTGTACGCGAGCTCCGCAGAGTTGCCATATCCTTGGTAAGTCCTTATGTTCTGTTGTTGAGTCGGTGTGATGTTCCTCAGTAGTATCGTGTACGCCATCATTGATTGATAGGTGTACTGCTGCTTCTCATACTGTGTGCCGTTTGTTGGGTATGGCAGGGACCCGTCGAAGAAGCCAAGAATTTGCGCTCCTTCCATCATCAGCTCGAATTCGAATGACCAGGTAAAGAAGTCCTTCCCGTCGAAGGGTTTTGTCGTTTGCAGTTTTAAGACGTGCGCGAACTGCGACTGAACTTGTAGTGCGTCCATCGCTCTTTCTTATCCCGGTGCAGGTTGTGGTTGTGGCGTGAAGCTGACAAAGCCGCGTTGGGCTCGTACAGAGCGAAGGTAGGTTGTTGTTGTTGGTTTCCGCGCGCGTAGGATGAGCCATCGAGACTCATGGACGTCACGTTGTTGTTGCTGTTGCTGTTGTTTGATGTTGCAGGTACTCCTTGCTGGTGCTGCTCGTAGAAGGACATGAAGGAGAAGAATTTCTCCATCATGCTTGGATCGAAGCCCGCGCCTTGGTTTGCGGGTGTTTCAGTAGACCCAGCGGCTGGTCTTGTTGATGTGCCTTCCTCTGTCTGTAGACCAGAGGTAGGAGGTGGAGTAGGAGTGGTACCAGGAGAGCCTTTGGAGGAGCTTCTCTCCTTTCTGGTAGACATATCTCTTACTGTAATCAAAGGAGTAGTAGAGTTTTACCCTAACTGCTCTCATACCATGTTGAGCTGAAAGAGCCCCTTAGGATCTTTGATAGGATGAAACTCAAGGTAAAGTGATGTAATAGCGGAAGCGTTTTAAGAGAAGATTCTGAACCACCTTGCGCTGGTATGTGAGGGCAAAGTAAGTTGATTAAAACAAGCAAATACAAAGGTTTATATAAGAGTACAAGGAATACGAAGAGATACAGTTGTAACTGCTTTTGCTGTTGCTGTTGCGGTTCGATACAGTGACGACTCGGGCAACTGCTCAGTATCGAGTCAGTTGTGTGTCCTTGCTGTCGCGCTGTATTTGTCAAATCAAAGGTCGCTGACCTTTGACCTTCGCGTAACCTCCAGCGGTTACTTCAACCTCCGAGGGTTGACTCGCTGGTGCCTCGATACCGTATGATTTGCTTCGCTTGTGCCTTGGTGTTTCGACACGGTAGAAGCGCTTTAGGGCCGATTGTTTCCAACAGTTTGTACAAATCTGTGGTTTGGAACAAAACAAGGCACTCCCCTTACCTGTCCCCTATCTGGTCTGGTACCTTCACACTCATTCAACTAACTGGTGGTACTAGTGTCACACACACTCACTCGGCCGGCTGCGGTGTTGTGGTGCAAGATATGTGGTACCTGCACCGTAAGTGAAATATCTGGATCTCAGATTCCGTTTCAATTACTAGGAACCCTCATGACAACATCACAAGCATTGGCAGCTGTCAGTTCTTGTCTCTGTCCACTGATTTAACTGCTTCTATCCGAATACCTTTCCCGAAGCTCCTGAAGTACCGGCCAAACCTGTCAATTGTCAGTCAATAATTCCATATAATATATGCCTACATATTGAACCCTTCCTCTGACATCAATCCAAGAGACAACGGTACTTGAAATTCCACTTCTTTCCGCTCCATCACAGCAGAGCAGCGAGCACAGCAGCAGTCAGAGTCACAAATACAGATGCAGCCACGTTTCCAGTGCCCTTAGGGGGTGGAGGTGGAGGGGACGGGATAGAGGAGGACGGGGTGGAGGAAGACGGGGAAGAGGGGGAGGACGGGGTAGAGGAAGACGGGGTAGATGGGGAGGACGGGGTAGAAGGGGGGGATGGGGTGGAGGGGGCTGGTGGGGGCGCAGTAGGGGGGGATGGGGTGGAGGGGGCTGGTGGGGGCGCAGTAGGGGGGGAAGACCCCCCATCAACAGTACTTCCGGACGATGGCGCCATTGCCGGGCCTGGAGAAGAGTCCGAGCCTGGCGCTGGTGCAGGTGCGGAGGACGGAGCCAACGGAGGCTTCGGGAGGGTAGGCTTGTCGAAGGCGGTTGGGGGCAGCGCGGGGCGCTTGTAAGGGATGGTTCCGGTCTTGTAGGGGTACTTGGCGCAGATCTTCGCGTCGGGCTTCCGGCCCGGGATCTTCTCAGCTCCGGTGGTATTTACCGAACCAGCAGGGCAGGTTTTGGGGATGGCGAGAGGGTCGCAGCAGAGGGGGGTGGCGGGGAGGACCTGGGGGCCACCATAACAACCCACGTCCTGTGACGAGGGAATGTGGGAAGAAGCAGGGAACAGGGAAACGGGAGGGAAAGGGGGAGAGGGAGAGTGGGGAGGGGTTGAACAGGAGGTATTGATAAGCAGTTCCAAGGCTGAAGATTTGCTTCTGGGTATAAAGAAATCTACGTCTCCAGAAAATAAGGTGAGGAGCTGGGATAGGGATACTCATAGGCTTTTGAATAACATGAAAATCAATCGGATGGGTGCCTGGTTACTGTTAGATCTAGATATTTCTCTTTTACTCGTGGAACTGCATAGGATAGTGCATTGCACTACCGGGCGCATGGTACTCACACTGACTCCAGCAGTGAAGCCTGGAACGGCCTCTGCAACAAGGGGGACGATGGCTTGCTTTATAAGCTGCTCGGGGTTGTAGATTACCATGTCCACTGATATGTCACCAACTGCAGCAGAAACGAGAGGGGATGAAGAGCATACAAAAGCAGAAGGTGAAAAGACAAAGGGGAACAAAAAGGGGAAATCAATTTGTTGCTGTAAGAGTGAGAGCAGGAGCAGGGTGGAGAATTAGAGTAATAAATAACGGACAGACTCGTTATCAGGGCACCAGAAAGCATACGAACCAAAAGTACTCATTTCTGGACAACGAAAGGTATAATTGCAAGGCAAAAAAATACTCACCTTTAAGTGTAGAGCACTTGTCGTAGACCTGCTGTGCGAATGCCTTGCACACTTGCATGTAGGGACCCGTGGGCGTGTCAATGAAATAATATCCCGAATCTGCAGCGAGGAAATGCCAAATAAGAGAGCATACCATTACTAAAAAAAGTGTACTGTGTACTAGAAAGTGTACCATTATGTAAATGAGCATTAAAATCTACAAGTTGTGTCGGTATGAAAATGACTCGCATAACCAGGCACGATGCGGTGTAGTGAAAGGGGTACTATATTCGGACGAGGCTCAAACCTTTTGCGACAAGTATGCAACATTTGCGAGTCATTCGCGAACAAAAAAAAAAAAAAAAAACCACCTGGATTACACGTGACGGCGCACACGAGCTGCTCGATCAGCTGCTCGCACTCCTCGTGGCCCTTAAACAGTTGGCACACCTGCGCGCCGAGGGGAAAGAAATACGCGATAGACAAGCAAGAGTTGGCTTGTAACCACCCAGCAATGGAACGGTCGCGGGGAGCGGGGAACAGTAAGGGGGAGCGGGGAGGGTAGAGGTGGGAGAGGCGATATACCAGCATTGTGGGAAGAGATTGAAAAGCAAATGACTCTACAGGCTCCAAGAGACTCGGAGCGGTCTTCGAGAACTCCCCAGAAAAAATGGTCGCAATGTGTGGCTATCACTGAAAAGTATCGCGAAGAGGAGTCGCGCTGCGATTATCACACACATTACGCGCAGGCCGCCTACAGTACCCCGAGCTGTATTAGCACCCATCTGAGCAGCATTAGCATTGCGAGCAGAATTATCACCCGCGCGAGCACCATTATCACCCACACGACCACCATTAGCACCCATGACAGCCCCATTCGCACCCATTCAAACACCATCGGCAATCATGCAAGTACCATTGGCACCCATCCAAGCACCCTTAGCACCCAAACGAGTACCACCTACATCTGCCGGGGCAGTCGCCAGACCCTGCGTCACCGGCTCCAAGGCAGCAGCAACATCTATCGCGAGCACTTGTATCGGAAACGTAAGATCCGCGCAGTCCGCGCAGCACGACAGCTGCTGCGCCTCCACGCAGCGCGAGTGCGGAATCGTCGGCTTAGTCGCGGGCTTCCCCGTGAGCGGGCACGCGGGGAGGGTCTTCGGCGGAGTTACTGGCGGAGCGGGCGCGGGTGCTTTTGCGGCTGCGGGGGGGGACTTCCCCGTGGGGGCAGCGGTAGGGGCGGCTGCTGCGAAGGGAAGCAGCAGCAGGAGGAGGAGCGGGGCCATGCGCGCACGATCCATGACAGGCGCGTCTTGAGGAGCCTCGGTTTCCAAAATGCTGGCTCTCAGGTGGTAGAAGCCACTGACAAACCAGACAAATGCCTTGCCCACGAACTTCCAAGAGACCTCACCACTAGTTTCAACAATGCAGCAGTGGTGGTGAATCAAAAGCAGAGTTGTCTCACGGAGTCGAGGCTACGCCGCACTACACCGCACTGAAAATTTGCCATTTTTCCAGACCAGACAGTTCCAGAGGACTCGGGGGGTGATTCTTGTCGAGGGGCAGTTGTGCTACTGAAAAGCCTCGCATTATTTCGCAAGTTCTTCTCGCAGAGCTACTCTGCGGTCGCTGATGGGGGGAAACAGACAGAGGCGGTGACCCGGCTCGTCGCGAGCGACTTCGTCTTTTCGCGACCGACACAGTTCGGCGGCTGGCGAAAAACCTTACCACAAGGAAGCTGCGAAAACGTCGGCTTTGTAGTGGGTCGGTGACAGCAGGGAACAACGACCACGCGTGTACTCCCCACAACCTCAAAACAAGTTCATTCAAAACACCTTTCAGCAGTGTATACTTGCTATAGTGTACTTCAAACCATAAACGAACACAGTTCAGAAGTACAATGTTGACAAGGACAAAATAAACCATGATCTCACCTTCTTACCAGGCATGGCTACGGAAAAATCATTCTGATGAATATTTTTTTCATTTATTTTGCAGAATAATAACTGCAGAGAAGTTCGCGCCGCAGAAGGTACAAATCTCCAGGCAATATTATCAGAAAATGTTTTTGAAAGCGGGAGAGCTGATAATGGAATTGGTAGTATACCCTCGAATGTGATCTAGATCGCCTTCCTGGGCTGTCCGAAGTTCGAAGTTCCGACAGCGAAAAGTGCACTCGGCACGTGCAGGTGAGTAGTCATTGTGATGAGGTGGAAGGCAACGAATCTGGACAACGTGTGAGTTCACAGACCCTGAACGTGCGAAGACCCCCCACGATGAGACCCTTTGACGTGTGGCGAGAATCTGTTGAGGGTTTAGGGTTGCGAACGCTGACTGTAGATTGAGTCGCGTATGCAAATCTGATTGGGCGTTAGGTTTCGCATACTCCTAACGATCACACACATCAGAATCGGCTTGCACATGGGGTAGACGTGGAAGCTGCCAGCGTGGACAAAAAAATCTGCACTTTTGGGGCTGTCCATGTCCAGACTTCGCAGGAAGGCGACCTTATTGAGGTTCAGGCTGTGTGGGAAAAGGTGACCATTAGGGCGAGGAAACCACGTGAGAGCTTTCCCATTGGCAGATATTAAGACCACGTGGAAATGGCAATCCTGTTTTCCCTAGTGCAATCGCGCGCATCCTTTTTGGTCGCGCAGGCCGACGTCTTGTTGTTCTGCTGACTTGCGGCCGCGCCCGCTTCCGCTCCGCCAGAATATCCTTCGTACCTTCGTCCGCTGATCGTTCAGTGCGGTTCAGTACGAATGAACGCGGTGAATCACGATTCTAAAAGTTGAATTTGCCAATACTAGAGTTGCTCCATCCACCTTGAAGTTGCCTGGCCACCATTCACCAGCTCGGCCCCCATCATCGCATTCTTGTTCCTGCCTTCGTTCCAGCCATTCCAGGCATTCTCCTCACTTGCTGCTCTTCGGGATCCGCATCGTCTGATTCCGATTGGTGTGCTCCTGAAATTCGTGTGCTGTGGCTGACTCTGCTTACTGAATTCACGCCGTTACATCAGCTGCGCAGCTCATGCGTTGACTCTTACGTGCGTTCATGCCTCTGCTCGCCGCTTTTCCGGTTCCTTCTCGTCCACCGTCGCTGCAAAACCTCCAGCATTTCCCGCCTTTGCCCAGCTGGACAGCGCCATCAGTGTCCACGTGTCACTCGAATTCCGCGTCACTGCCGCAGTTCACGGCGCAGAATCCAGGCATTAGTCACATATCCTCCAGTGTTTTGCGTCTAATTTCGTGTAACTCCCTCGCATCTACTAGTAGCTCCACCATTCCGGATTCTCCTGCGCTGGGTCGACCCATTCCTTCAGCTACCTCCTCCACGACTCCTTCTCGTCGCGTGCTTTTTCTGCGACTCGGACTCACCCCATTGTCACCAATTGTAGCTACAGTCACCCTCCCTAGTGTCACGTTCTCCGGTGCTGCTCCCCCCATCCACGTCTCCTCGCCACTCGCCTCCTCCACCTCCCTTCGTTCCCCATTCCTCTCGTCAGATCCTTCTTCTCCGTCTCCGTCTCCGTCTCTGTCTCCGTCTCAATCGGAAGCGCACTTCAGTAGGCCAACATACGCATCGGTCCTCGCGATCCCTGCGCCTAGGCGGAAGCTCGTCCGCGCGCGGAACTCAAAGCGCTGCTGGCGACCCTATAACCTTGGTCAGACGACGTCTGATCAGTCGCGTCACTGGCGGTTATCCCGCTCCGACCCGCGCCTCGCTACGCGCTACCTAGACATAGCGAAGAAGCGTAAAACGAGTACAAAAGCGGTTTACAGGACTGCGCTAAACGAGCTGGTCTTCCCACAGCCTACCGTCGCCGCTGCCAGCGCCTCGAAGAAGCTTCGTGGAACCAGCAGCCGTTCCGTCGGGAGCAGTTTCTTTTCAAAAACAGGAGGCCGGAGTTCGAACCTCGCAGTTGGCGGTTGGAACTGCCTAATCGGGTCCGGCAGCGGAGCGAGGGTAGCACTGCTTGTCGCTTCCCACTTCTGAGTGGAATCAGATCTCGAAGAGGCGGCTCAGGCGGCCCAACAGTAGCAGGTGGGTGGGAGCCTCTCCTGCACCTTCCTTGCATGCATTAGGCGCGCTTACATCCGTTCACATATGCTCCCCCCCTTACCTCCCTCACCACCACCTCTCCCACTCTGCTCTCTTCATCCCCCCAACCCCGTTCCCCCCCCACCCCAGCCATAAGGCTGAGCTTGCGCGAGGTGGACATGCTGGCGCAGAAGCGGTTGGTTGGCAAACCCTGCATCTGTACCCCTCCCTTCCATCTGTTCACTCCCTCCCTCGTCCCCCCTCCCCTCCGCAATGCAGCCATGAGGCTGAGCGTGCGCGAGGTGGACAAGCTGCGCCTGCATGCGGCAGGCGCGCTGGCGCAGAAGCGCCTGGCGCGCGGATTGAAGCTCAACTACCCCGAGGCGGTGGCTCTGATCGCCACCCAGGTGCTGGAGCTCATCCGCGATGGGTAGTGGGGTGGGGAATGCAACAGTGGTTCCTTATTCCACGCAGGTGCTGAAGCTCATTGTTTTAGTGGGCACAGAATACCGGCAGTATAGAAAAGAGGCATTTGGATCGATGAAGAAATACTTTCGGCATCGTCGTGTCTTGTATCACTCTGTCTCTTGCTGCGCCTTCTCTCAAGCCCTTACTTTTGTAAGCACGCATCGTCGTGTCTTGTATCACTCACTGCGCCCACTGCCCTCACCACCGTCGCCACGCCACGCAGGTGCTGGAGTTTATCCGAGATGGCAAGAGCGTTGCAGAGCTCATGGATCTCGGCAAGCAGCTTCTGGGAAGGTTCGTCCTCCACTAAAATGCATGGGAACCTGGAAGGGAAGGGGGCAGAATGTGGGAAAGAGATTGTTGGAAGAGTGAGGGACGAGTGGGGTGTGGGTGGGGGGGGAAGGGAGTGGGGAGAATGCAACAGTGGTCCCAAGATCCCCCCGAGTTCATCCGAGACATCAGCCCAATCAGCCCAACCCCCCCCTCCTCCTCTTCCCGCCCACACCAGGCGCAACGTGCTGCCAGCGGTGCCAGTGCTGCTGGACGTGGTGCAGGTGGAGGGAACCTTCGCGGATGGCACGAAGCTGGTGACGGTGCATCACCCCATCAGCCGCGAGGATGGTGATCTCTCCCTCGCTCTGCACGGCTCCTTCCTGCCAGGTCACCTCTCCGTCCCTCTCCGTCCTCTCTCTCCCTCGCACTGCACAGTTCTTATCTGCCAGGTCATCTTTCCCACCCTCTCCTTCCCCTCTCTTCCTCTCGCTCTCCCTCTCCTTCTCCCTCTCCCTCCTACTGCCCTCTGCCACGAGCGAATCCCATGGAGTGTGAGCCGTCTCTTGCTTATGCCTAGTGGGGATGGGGATGGGGATGGGGATGGGGATGGCACGAAGCTGGTGACGGTGCATCACCCCATCGCCATGCCTGTCACCACCACTGCTCTCAGTGGCTCCCGGGCACGGTCAAGACACCCCGTCAGGCCTGAATAAGTCATTCAAGTCAATCAAATCAATCATAATGACTGCAAGTTAACTCGATTCTGACGTCACAGCATCATATTCCCCCCCTCCTCGCCCCTGCCTGTCCCACCACCCGCGCAAGACCTATTCACCACGCCTATTGCCACCTCTTGAATGTCTCTGCTGCATCAGGGCAGATCATAGTGGCAGAGACAAGCCTACTGCTTCTCAATGCTGGCAGGCTGGCAGGCAGTGCATCAAATGCTCCCAGGGATAATCCCCCATCCCATCTGCCATCTCCGTCCCCCTCTGCCCTCCTCGCCCCTGCCTGTGCCACCAGTCCCGTCGCCTGATCTCGTCGTCACGCCTGTCACCACCAGTCCCTTGAGTGCCTCTTCTGCTGTTCTGTCCACCATGCCAGGGCAGATCATAGTGGCACAGACGGGCCCGCTGCTGCTCAATGCTGGCAGGGCTGCTGCTGTTGTCCCTTCATCCCATCTCCCCACTCCCCCGCCCCTCTCCACCAGTCCCCTCGCCTGATCTCTTCGCCACACCTATTGCCACCACGCCTCTAAGTGGCTCTGCTGCGCCAGGGCAGATCATGGTGGCAGGGACATGGTCGTCTCCCCCCTCTCCTCCGTCTCCCCCCTCTCCCACCAGTCCCCTCACCCGATCTCTTCGCCGCGCCTATTGCCACCACTTCATTGACTGGCTCTGCTGCACCGGGGCAGATCATGGTGGCAGGGACAGGCCCGCTGCTGCTCAATGCCGGCTCCCATCTGCCATCTCCCCCCCCCCCCCCCTTCCATATTGTCCCTGTCCCTCCCGCCAGTGCCATCACCTGATCTCTTTGCCACGCCTGTCACCACCACTGCTCTGAGTGGCTCTGCTGCGCCAGGGCAGATCATGGTGGCAGGGACAGGCCCGCTGCTGCTCAATGCTGGCAGGGCTGCTGTGCGGCTGAGCGTCAGCAGCCAATGTGACCGACCCATTCAGGTGAGGGACTTGGTGGTGTATGTGCATCGTATCGTATCATATCGTATGATATCGTATTGTATCGTATTATACCAAAACATGATGTATTGCATCATATCGTATCATGCCGTCTCTCTTCAATCTGATCTTCATTGCCCATGAGTTCCACCTTTCAATCCTTAACCCTCAACCCCAAACTCTCAACCCTGAACCCCGCAACCCCAAACTCTCAACCCTTAACCCACAACCCCAAACCCTCAACCCTCATACCCCCAGGTGGGCAGCCACTGCCACTTCGTGGAGACCAATCCGCTGCTCGTTTGCAAAAATACCTGCAATTGCCTAACCATCCATTCTAAAAACTCAATTCCTCTCTCATCAACCCATCCCCCCACAGGTGGGCAGCCACTATCACTTTGTGGAGACCAATCCGCTGCTCTTCTTTGATCGCCAGCTGGCGTACGGTTACCACCTCAACATCCTCCCTGGCACTGCTGTGCGCTTCGAGGTGAGTCACTTTGTCCCAGATGCGACCCCGTTACCGCGTTACTCCACGACTGTGTTACCATGCTGCGCATTGAACGACCACCTGTGATTTCTTTCTCTCGCCCTAGCATTTACTCTCTTTCCTTCTGGTGCTGCTGTGAACAGGCCCTTCCCGGCGCCTCACTCTCTCCCTTTCCTTCCCTCCCGATGACAGCCGGGCGAGACAAAGCAGGCGGTGCTGGTGGCGATGGGGGGCAAGAGGGTGATTCGAGGGGGAAACGCTGCTATACTGCCATGTGGTTTGGAGCACCCTTCCCTTACTCTCCTTTCCGTTATCTCTTTCCATCCCTTTCAACTCCTTCTATCTGCAGCCTGGCGAGACAAAGCAGGTGGTGCTGGTGGCGATGGGGGGCAAGAGGGTGATTCGGGGCGGCAACGGGATAGCAAGTGGGCCAGTGGACGAGAGCAGGGCGGCCGAGGTGGCTGCTAAGGCTGTGGCCATGGGATTGGGGCACGTGCCAGAACCCAGCGCACCGTGAGTCAACCAGGGGTGCTGCTGGTGCTGGTAGTTAGAGGCGGCAGTGAGCCTTATGGCATGGCTGCTAGAGCTGTCACCATGGGATTCGGACATGTGCCAGAGCCCAATGCACTGTGAGTCACTCAGGGGTGCTGCAAGTGGTGCTGGTAGTTAGAGGCGGCAGTGAGCCTTATGGTATGGCTTTTATAGCCGTGGCTATGGAACCCGGCCATGTGCCACGGCCCAGCACACTGTAGGCTCCTCGTCCCTCCACTCCTCTTCTGCTCCCAGTTTAGAGTTTTTCCAAGAATAAAGATGAAACAGGATGGACTCGATTCCTCACTCTCCTTTCCTTCTCTCGATTCGACGTCAAACCTGACCTCAAACTTGACATCAAACCTGACCTCAAACTTGACGTCAAACCAGACCTCAAACTTGACGTCAAACCAGACTTCAAACTTGACGTCAAACCAGACCTCTAACTTGACGTCAAACCAGACCTCAAACTTGACGTCAAACCAGACCTCAAACCCTGACCTCAAACTTGACGTCAAACCTGACCTCAAACCTGACGTCAAACCTGACCTCAAACTTGACGTCGAACCAGACCTCAAACCTGACGCAGACCTCAAACCAGACCTCAAACCTGACCTCAAACCTGACGTCAAACCAGACCTCAAACCTGACGTCGAACCAGACGTCAAACCTGACGTCAAAACCCGACCTCAATCCTGACGTCAAACCAGACCTCAAACTTGACGTCAAACCAGACGTCAAACCGACGTCAAACCAGACCTCAAACCTGACGTCAAACCAGACGTCAAACCTGACGTCAAACCAGACCTCAAACCTGACGTCAAACCAGACCTCAAACCTGACGTCAAACCAGACCTCAAACCTGACGTCAAACCAGACCTCAAACTTGACGTCAAACCAGACCTCAAACTTGACGTCAAACCAGACCTCAAACTTGACGTTAAACCAGACCTCAAACCTGACGTCAAACCTGACGTCAAACCTGACGTCAAACCGGACCTCAAACCTGACCTCAAACCAGACCTCAAACCTGACGTCGAACCGGACCTCAAACCTGACGTCAAACCAGACCTCAAACCTGACGTCAAACCAGACCTCAAACCTGACGTACTCGCCTCCCTCTCCCCCCTCTCGTGCATGCAGCAAGGGGGTCGTGGGGAAGGATGAGGCCCCGACAGTGGGAGTGGAGAGGGAGCGGTATGCTGACGTGTTTGGCCCCACGGTGGGCGACAGGGTGCGGCTGGGAGACACGGGAGTGCATCTCGCCCCACGGGGGTCTCGGCTCCTCACCCTCTCCCCTACCCGCCTCCCTCTCCCCCCCTCTCGTGCATGCAGCAAGGGGGTCGTGGGGAAGGATGAGGCCCTGACAGTGGGAGTGGAGAGGGAGCGGTATGCTGACGTGTTTGGCCCCACGGTGGGCAACAGGGTGCGGCTGGGAGACACGGGAGTGCATCTCGCCCCACGGGGGTCTCGGCTCCTCACCCTCTCCCCTACCCGCCTCCCTCTCTCCCCCTCTCGTGCATGCAGCAAGGGGGTCGTGGGGAAGGATGAGGCCCTGACAGTGGGAGTGGAGAGAGAGCGGTATGCTGACGTGTTTGGCCCCACAGTTGGATGATTGCGGCACACACGCTTGACTCCTAAATCTTTCTCTTCCGTCTCTCTTCCCTCCCCTCGTGCTTGCAGGAAGGGCGTTGTTGGGACGGACGAGGCTCTGACAGTGCGAGTGGAGAGGGAGCGGTACGCTGACGTGTTTGGCCCCACGGTGGGCGACAGAGTGCGGCTGGGGGATACTGCGCTGGTGGTGGAGGTGGAAAAGGATTTCACAGTGTTGGGCGATGAGTGCAAGTTCGGAGGGGGGAAGGTGCTCAGAGAAGGCATGGGGCAGGTGAGACCTGGGGCAGGGTAGGAGGGGGGGTGTGCGTGGGTTTCTAGCAGGGCTTGAGACGAGCAAGAGAGCGGGTTGTGGGTGTGTTTGGTCCCATGGTAGGGGACAGCGTGAGGGTGGGGGACAGAGTGCGGGTGGGAGATACAGCACTGGTGGTGGAGGTGGAGGGGGACTTCACAGTGCTGGGCGATGAGTGCAAGTTCGGAGGGGGGAAGGTGCTCAGAGAAGGCATGGGGCAGGTGAGACCTGGGCACTGGGGGGGCAGTGGGGGCAGTGAGTGAGACCTGGGGTGGGTGAGACCTGGGGCGGGTGAGACCTGGGGTGGGTGAGACCTGGGGCGGGTGAGACCTGGGGCGGGTGAGACCTGGGGCGGGTGAGACCTGGGGTGGGTGAGACCTGGGGCGGGTGAGACCTGGGGCGGGTGAGACCTGGGGCGGGTGAGACCTGGGGCGGGTGAGACCTGGGGTGGGTGAGACCTGGGGCGGGTGAGACCTGGAGTGGGTGAGACCTGGGGCGGGTGAGACCCGAGGCAGGTGAAACCTGGAGCAGAAGGGCACTGGGGCAGGGGGGGACTGGGGCAGGGTAGGAACGGAGGATGGGGGGACTGGTGCTGGGGCTGATGAGGAGCGGGGCAGGAGGGGCTGGAGGGGGAGGAGCGGTTTGAGGTGTGTGAGAAGTAGGGGGCAGGTGGGGCATGAGTGCCTAAGCTCTGTACTTCCCATGTCCTTACCCTCCTTGCTCTATCCATCAGTGAGGGCTATGCTCTTACCGAATGGTCCTTTCATTGATGTAGAAAATGAGGTACAGACAACTGCCAGGGATGTTCAAGCACAGCCTATGTCATCCATGTGAGGGCTATGCTCTTCCCTCTCTTCCCTCTCTTGCCTCCCCTCCCTTCCACGTTTTCTCCTTGCTTCCAGGCGACAGGAGTGAAGGCAGAGGACGCCCTGGACGTGATTATAACGAATGCGCTTATAGTGGATCACTGGGGCATAGTGAAGGCGGACGTGGGCATCAAGGGCACGCGCATTGTGGGCATCGGCAAAGGCGGCAACCCGGACGTCATGAATGGGGTGGACGAGAATATGGTGGTGGGGGTGAGTAGTAGTGGTGTATAAGCATGTCATGCGCATTAAGGGGATTATGGGTATTGTGGGAATCAGCAAGGGCGGCAACCCTGATGTCATGGATGGGGTGGACGAGCACATGGTGGTGGGGGTGAGTATCAAGAGGGGAAAAGATGTTGGGGTGATGGTTGGTTGGAGGGCTGGTATGTTCCCAACACAAACAAAGCCCCCATCGACTTTCTCTGTCTCACTCGTGCTTGTCCTCATGAGGGATGCCCCTCATGCCATCCCTTGCGCCCCATGCAGGTGACGACCGAGGTGATAGCAGGCGAGGGGCTGATTCTCACAGCAGGAGGCATCGATACACACGTGCACTTCATCTGCCCTCAGCTAGCAGACGAGGCCATTTGCAGCGGTGAGTGGTGGGTGATGTGACAGCTGTGTGAGTGATGGAGATAGCCAATGCCATCCCCATGTGAGCTTGAGTGGTGGAGAGGACAGGCCGTTGATACGCATGTGCACTTCATCTGTCCTCAACTGGCAGATGAGGCCATTTGCAGCGGTGAGTGGTGATTCAGCAGGCAACACCCCGCACACTAGCCACAACAAGCACACCATCCCTCTCTCGATGCCATGGCGCTCAAGCTGCATTGCTACCACTGCCACCATCCATGCCTTTCGCTCTCCACCATCAACCTGTTTCCATTTTCTCCCCGTGCGCGCAGGTCTGACGACACTGGTGGGTGGAGGCACGGGCCCGGCGCACAGCACTCTGGCCACAACAAGCACATTATCCCCCAATGCCATGGCGCTCATGCTATCACCTCTTCCTACCCGTGCCTACCTGCAGGTCTGACGACGCTAGTGGGAGGAGGCACGGGTCCGGCACATGGCACGCTAGCCACCACATGCACGCCATCCCCCAACGCCATGGCACTCATGCTGTCACGTCCACCAGACCAGTACCACCACCACCACAGCATTATCACCTGCATCTTTCTCTTCCCTTCTCTTCCCACTGTGCATGCATGCAGGTCTGACGACGTTAGTGGGAGGAGGAACGGGGCCGGCACACGGCACGCTGGCCACCACATGCACGCCATCCCCCGACGCCATGGCGCTCATGCTGCAAGCTACGGATAATATGCCGCTCAACTTTGGGTTCACAGGGAAGGTAAGTGCTGCTGTGGAAAATGGGTGGTGATGGTTACCTATCGGTGTGGTACGGTGGAAGGGTGTGTAGGCGCCTCATGCTGCAAGCTACGGATAATATGCCTCTCAACTTTGGGTTCACAGGGAAGGTGGGTGGTTATATGGGCGTGAGTGAGTGTCTGTGTGTGGCTTTGCGTGCAGGTGTATGGGTGTGTCTGTGAGTGTAAGAATGCAGGATCACCTGATGCTATGGCGCTTATGCTGCAAGCCACAGAACTCATGCCTCAACTTCAGGTTGATTGGGTTTTGTATATCATATAAGGCGAGTGATTGTATCAGTGTGAGTGAGCGTGTGTCTGTGAGTGGGGATGGGTGTGGGTGAGGGGGGTTGTCTCTGTGTGTGTGAAGAGTGGGGATGGGTGTGGGTGAGGGGGGTTGTCTCTGTGTGTGTGAAGAGTGGGGATGGGTGTGGGTGAGGGGGGTTGTCTCTGTGTGTGTGAAGAGAACTTCAAGCCTCCTCCTCGACACCCGCTCCTTTTTCCTCACTCTGCAGGGTAACACATCTAGCCCTGAGGGTAACACATCTAGCCCTGAGGGTATGACAGACATCATCAAAGCGGGAGCAATCGGGTTGAAGCTGAGGCAAAGAAGGATTGGGGATTGGGGTACCACCCCCGCCGCAGCCATTGACACGGGCCTGGGCGTGGCAGAGGAGTATGATGTGTGTGTAGAGAGACTTGTTTTCTATGCCAACACCTGTTCCCCTCTCCCCACTCCTCAGGGCAACACGTCCAGCCCCGAGGGCCTCTTGGACATAATCAAAGCGGGAGCAATTGGGTTGAAACTCCACGAGGACTGGGGCACCACGCCTGCAGCCATTGACACGTGCCTGGGCGTGGCAGAGCAGCATGACGTGCAGGTGACGATTCACACGGACACTCTCAACGAGTCGGCGTGTGTGGAGCAGACCATTGCTGCCTTCAAGAACCGCACCATTCATACCTACCACAGGTGAGGAGGGATGGGGTGGGAGAGAGGGGGAGGGGGGAGTGGGACAGTTTGACATTCTGGCTTTTATCTTCTTCAACACTCCTTCCTTTATATCTTCTCTCCCTTTGGGCTGCCTCTACCTCGCAGTGAGGGAGCAGGGGGCAGGCATGCACCCAACATCATCCGCATCTGTGGGGAGAGGAACGTGTGTAGCTTACCTCCCTCCTCCTCCTCCTCCTCCTCCTCCTACCTTCCTTCCCTCAACCTTCCTTCCCTCAGCCTTCCTTCCTCCCTCCCATTCTGCTGCGTTTGCCTATCCACTGCAGTGAGGGAGCAGGGGGCGGGCATGCACCAGACATCATCAGCATCTGTGGGGAGAGCAATGTGCTGCCTTCTTCCACCAATCCCACTCGCCCTTTCACCACCAACACCATTGACGAGCATCTGGATATGCTGGTATGCACTTTGTTATTATAACGGGGATGTGGGTTACTTCATAACAAGTATATCAATAGGGGTATGCCGCCCTCCTCCACCGCCCCTTCACCACCAACACCATCTAGGAACACCTCGACATGCTGATATGTGTGCTTGCAGCGACTATAACGAGAGTCTTCTGTAGTACCTAGATACGTACTGCCCTCCTCCACCAACCCCACTCGCCCCTTCACCACCAACACCATCGACGAACACCTCGACATGCTGGTGGGTGCCTTGACTTCTAACGAGGACGTACCGTAACGCCTGTGCTCTGCTCCCTCCCCCAGATGGTCTGTCACCACCTGGACAGCAACAACAGGGAGCACGTGGCATTTGCCGAGTCCCGCATTCCCCTTCAATTCCCCCTCATTTCCCCTCGTCCCTTTCCCCCCTCCAACCCCCCCCCCCCCCCTCCCCCAGATGGTCTGTCACCACCTGGACAGCAACAACAGGGAGGACGTGGCATTCGCCGAGTCGCGAATCCGGGCGGAGACCATCGCAGCAGAGGACATACTCCACGACATGGGGGCAATCAGCATGATGTCATCCGATTCCCAAGCCATGGGTCGCATAGGCGAGGTCATCACACGCACCTGGCAAACCGCGCACAAGATGAAGGTCCAGCGGGGACCTCTTAACGAGGATAAAGATTCTGAGGGGTTTGGGTTTGGCACCGCGCCGAATGATAACTTCCGGGTGAAGCGATATGTGGCCAAGTATACGATCAACCCGGCGATCGCGCACGGGTTTTCGCACATGGTGGGGTCGGTGGAGGTGGGGAAGATGGCGGATCTGGTGCTGTGGCGGCCGGCGTTCTTTGGCGCGAAGCCGGAGATCGTGGTGAAGGGCGGTGCGATCGCGTGGGCGCAGATGGGTGATGCCAATGCCAGCATTCCCACTCCGGAGCCGGTGAGTATGAAATGAGGGTATGAACACACTCACTGCCAATGTATTTTGAGTCGACTCATCAAAATACATGTGAAAGCCGGAGATTGTGGTGAAGGGAGGAGCGATTGCATTGACGGAGATGGGCGATGCCAATGCCAGCATTCCCACGCCTGAACCGGTGAGTAATTCGCTGCAAATATCTTCACTCAGTGCCAATGTATTTTGAGTCAACTCATCTACTCAAATCACACATGGAAGCCGGAAATTTTGGTGAAGGGAGGAGAAGAAGCATTGACGCAGATGGGCGATGCCAATGCCAGCATCCCAGCTCCAGAGATGCATTACACTCACTGCCGCCGTTTTCTAGGTGACTCGAAAATCATCTGTAAGTTCTTAAGTTCTTCCATCAGCTCTCATTGTACCTCACCCACGGTTATCACAATACCTCACCCACGGTCATCACGCTGATTCCCCATGTCGCTCATGTCCCCCTCATCGCACCGCTCCTCCCCCTCATCCCACCTGCCTCTCTTCCCCCACAACCCACCTCCCCCACACGGCCACGCCTTTCCTCCCCCTCGTACCACCTCCCCACATTCCACTCCCCCACCTCAACTCCCTCATGCCATCATGCGACCGCAGTTTGCAGCAAGCAGCAAGGCAGGTAGTGAGTCAACGCAAGAATCACCCCAATTCACTTTCACACTTCTCCCCTCCCCACTTCCCACTGCACCCCCCCAACGCCCCATATCCCCTCCACCAGGTCATCATGCGACCACAGTTTGCAGCAAGCGGCAAGGCAGTGGGTGGGCGCTGCTTGGCGTTCGTCAGCCAGGTGAGTTGTTAGGGGAGTGGGGTGGAGGGGTGGAGGGGAGGAGGGTGGAGGGGTGGAGGGGTGGAGGGGTGGAGGGGTGGTGGGGTGGAGGGGTGGAGGGGTAAGGATCAGTCCCACCTATCAGTCCCACCACCTATCAGTCCCACCCATCAGTCCCACCTATCAGTCCCACCTATCAGTCCCACCTATCAGTCCCACCTATCAGTCCCACCTATCAGTCCCACCACCTATCAGTCCCACCTATCAGTCCTACCTATCAGTCCCACCACCTATCAGTCCTACCTATTGGTCCCACCTATCAGTCCCACCTATCAGTCCCACCTATCAGTCCCACCTATCAGTCCCACCTATCAGTCCCACCACCTATCAGTCCCACCTATCAGTCCCACCACCTATCAGTCCCACCTATCAGTCCTACCTATCAGTCCCACCACCTATCAGTCCTACCTATTGGTCCCACCTATCAGTCCCACCTATCAGTCCCACCACCTATCAGTCCCACCCATCAGTCCCACCCATCAGTCCCACCTATCAGTCCCACCTATCAGTCCCACCTATCAGTCCCACCTATCAGTCCCACCTATCAGTCCCACCACCTATCAGTCCCACCTATCAGTCCTACCTATCAGTCCCACCACCTATCACTCCTACCTATCAGTCCTACCTATCAGTCCCACCTATCAGTCCCACCTATCAGTCCCACCTATCAGTCCCACCTATCAGTCCCACCACCTATCAGTCCCACCTATCAGTCCTACCTATCAGTCCTACCTATCAGTCCCACCTATCAGTCCCACCTATCAGTCCCACCAATCAGTCCCACCTATCAGTCCCACCTATCAGTCCCACCACCTATCGGTCCCACCTATCAGTCCCACCACCTATCAGTCCCACCTATCAGTCCCACCACCTATCAGTCCCACCTATCAGTCCTACCTATCAGTCCCACCACCTATCAGTCCCACCTATCAGTCCCACCTATCAGTCCCACCTATCAGTCCCACCTATCAGTCCCACCTATCAGTCCCACCTATCAGTCCCACCACCTATCAGTCCCACCTATCAGTCCTACCTATCAGTCCCACCACCTATCACTCCTACCTATCAGTCCTACCTATCAGTCCTACCTATCAGTCCCACCTATCAGTCCCACCTATCAGTCCCACCTATCAGTCCCACCTATCAGTCCCACCACCTATCAGTCCCACCTATCAGTCCTACCTATCAGTCCTACCTATCAGTCCCAAATATCAGTCCCACCAATCAGTCCCACCTATCAGTCGTACCTATCAGTCCCACTTATCAGTCCCACCACCTATCGGTCCCACCTATCAGTCCCACCACCTATCAGTCCCACCCATCAGTCCCACCTATCAGTCCCACCTATCAGTCCCACCTATCAGTCCCACCTATCAGTCCCATCTATCAGTCCCACCACCTATCAGTCCGACCTATCAGTCCTACCTATCAGTCCCACCTATCAGTCCCACCACCTATCAGTCCCACCACCTATCAGTCCCACCAATCAGTCCCACCTATCAGTCCTACCTATCAGTCCCACCTATCAGTCCCACCACCTATCAGTCCCACCTATAAGTCCCACCTATCAGTCCCACCTATCAGTCCCACCTATCAGTCCCACCTATCAGTCCCACCTATAAGTCCCACCTATCAGTCCCACCTTTCAGTCCCACCTATCAGTCCCACCTATCAGTCCCACCTATCAGTCCCACCTATCAGCCCCACCTATCAGTCCCACCTATCAGTCCCACCTATCAGTCCCACGTATCGGTCCCACCTATCAGTCCCACCTATCAGTCCCACCACCTATCAGTCCCACCTATCAGTCCCACCTTTCAGTCCCACCTATCAGCCCCACCTATCAGCCCCACCTATCAGTCCCACCTATCAGTCCCACCTATCAGTCCCACCTATCAGTCCCACCTATCAGTCCCACCTATCAGTCCTACCCATTGGTCCCACCTATCAGTCCCACCACCTATCAGTCCCACCTATCAGTCCCACCTATCAGTCCCACCTATCAGTCCTACATATCAGTCCCACCTATCAGTCCCACCACCTATCAGTCCTACCTATCAGTCCCACCTATCAGTCACACCACCTATCAGTCCCACCTATCAGTCCCACCACCTATCAGTCCCACCTATCAGTCACACCACCTATCAGTCCCACCTATCAGTCCCACCACCTATCAGTCCCACCCATCAGTCCCACCTATCATTCCCACCTATCAGTCCCACCTATCAGTCCCACCTATCAGCCCCACCTATCAGTCCCACCTATCAGTCCCACCTATCAGTCCCACCACCTATCAGTCCTACCTATCAGTCCCACCTATCAGTCACACCACCTATCAGTCCCACCTATCAGTCCCACCACCTATCAGTCCCACCTATCAGTCACACCACCTATCAGTCCCACCTATCAGTCCCACCACCTATCAGTCCCACCCATCAGTCCCACCTATCATTCCCACCTATCAGTCCCACCTATCAGTCCCACCTATCAGCCCCACCTATCAGTCCCACCTATCAGTCCCACCTATCAGTCCCACCACCTATCAGTCCTACCTATCAGTCCCACCTATCAGTCCCACCTATCAGTCCCACCACCTATCAGTCCCACCTATCAGTCACACCACCTATCAGTCCCACCTATCAGTCCCACCACCTATCAGTCCCACCCATCAGTCCCACCTATCAGTCCCACCTATCAGTGGAGGGGTGGAGGGGGGGGAGGGGGGGAGGGGTGGTGGGGTGGTGGGGTGGTGGAGGGGTGGGGGGGTGGGAGGGTGGAGGGTTGGGGAGTCAGGCTCAGCAGCTAGTCTTTGCCTTTCCAAGACATTGACCCCGGTATACAACTGCGCAACCTTGTCCCTGCCGCAAGGACGATATGATTCACAATGGCGCCCTCCCTATCTTCCTCCCTCAGATTCCCCTTCTCATTTTCTCCTTCCTCTTCCCCCCACCCACCCTGTGCTACCAGCTGTGCCAAGAGTCAGGCTCAGCAGCCAATCTCGGTCTCACCAAGACCCTAACCCCCGTGCACAACTGTCGCAACCTCTGCAAGGAGGATATGATCCACAACGGCGCCCTCCCAGCCATCCACGTGGACCCTGAGACCTACCAGGTCACCGCTGACGGGGCGCCGCTGACGTGTCAGCCAGCTGGCGAGCTGCCACTGGCTCAGAGCTATTTTCTGTTTTAAGAGGGTAGGGGGTGGGGCCGTGGGTGGGAAGGGGGAAGAAATAGAGGAGTAAGGCGGGGTGGTATGAATAAGAATTAAGGGGAATATTTGGTAATTTTCAGAGACTGAAACACTGAGGGTAGCAAGAAAGCAGGAGGGTAGCTGTTGTTGGCTAGTACTTCACTTTTTTCTCGCTTTGTAGAACAAGAGAGGGTAAATTGGGAGAGGGAAGTTACTAGATAGATCCTCAAGAGCAGCTGGCGAAAGGTCAAGAGCAGCCGGAGACGCAGCAGAAGAAGAGGGAGCATCACCCAAGCGTCGCTACTGGGTGAGGTATCCAAGGAGGCAGGTCAGGAAACGAGCAGCATGGAGTGCCAAGGGGAGGAGGACAAGAAGGAGCATCACCAAACCCCTCCGCCCCTCCCCACTGACTGGGCGGTGTGGCAGCTGCTGGACTCGCTGCTGCCTGCTGGCGGCTTCGCCCACTCGCTGGGGCTGGAGGCAGCAGCAAGAGCAGGCTTCCTTGCTGGCACGGGGAGAGGTGCAGGCAGAGGGGCAGGGGGGGCAGGGGGCGGGACAGGTGGGGCAGGGGGGGAGGCAGGTGGGGCAGGCGGAGCTAGTGGGGTCGTAAGGGGGGGGAATAGTGGTGCAGGGAGAGGGGGAGGTGGCAGCGGCGAGGAGAGGAGTGACATGGTGGCGTCGCTGCGTGTGTTTGTGCTCACGGCTGTGCATGCCAATGCTGCTCTGCTGCTACCCTTTGTTGCCACGGCTCATGGGATTGCGAGTGCGAGCATCAATGCCTCGGCTTGTGGGAGTGCTGCAGCAGCTGCAGTGGCAGCACCAGCAGGAGCTGCTCCTGCGGACATAGCAGTGCCAGGGACAATGGCAGCAGGAATAGGAGCCGGAACAGCAGGAGGAACGGCATCAGGGGCAGCGACGGCAGGAGTAGCAGGAGTAGTGAGAGCAGGAGCTGGTTCTAACTGGTCAAGCCCTGGTGATAGCGCCGCTTTTTTATTTGAGGAGCCGGTTCTTCAGCCAATAGTGGAGCGACACGTGGCACGTGGCGCGTTTGGTGACGCGCTGGCAGCAGCTGACAGCTGTCTAAACGCCATGCTGGCGAATGACGTGGCACGGAAGGTAGGATCGTATGGGGGGATGCGTGCGGTGACTATGGGGGGTGATTATGGTATGACGTGGCACTTAAGGTACGGGGCTGGTTATTGCAGGACAGGCCCTCCCTGCTCTCACTCTTACTGTGCTGCCTCCTCTGCTCTCACATTCCCAATCTCCCTTACTCCCATGCTCCCTTACTCCCACGCCCCCATGCTCCCACTCTCTGCTTCTCCCACCCTGCTGTCGTGCCCCAGTATATTGCCCCTATGCCCCTCCACCGAGTGCCTTATCACCCCTGGTCTCCCTCTCACAGCCTCGCTCTCACAGCCTCGCTCTCACAGCCTCGCTCTCACAGGCCTCGCTCTCACAGGCCTCGCTCTCACAGCCTCGCTCTCACAGCCTCGCTCTCACAGCCTCGCTCTCTTGTGACTGACCTGCATCCCAATCCCTTCCCTGCTCCCATCCGCGTTGCTCTGCTCCTACTCCTCACCACCCTTCCCATCATACCAGGTCTCCCTCTCTCAGGGCTCGGCCTTGCTTAGAGTCGCCTCCACAGTCTTTCCCGAAGCCTATCCCTTGCTCTCTACCTATCGCTCACGTACTCGTCAGCACGGTCAACCAAGTCAACCCAGTCAACGGGGGAAAAATACCTCATCTCCTCGTGCCTACGGCCACCACGCGGTGATCTTCGGAGCCCTCTGCGGGTGTCTCTCATCCCTCTGCCCCCCGCCCTGAGAGGCCTTGTCTCTGTGCTCTCAGGGACTGCCTGTCTGCTGCCAACCCCTTCCCACCCCCTGCTCCCATGCCCCACCAACCCAGGTCTCCCTCTCTCAGGGCTCAGCCTTGCTTAGGGTCGCCTCGACTGTCTTCCCAGAAGCCTCTCCCCTGCTCTCGACCTATCGCATGAGGACACGTCAGCAGGGTCAACCCAGTCAACCAAGTCAAAACACCTCATCTCCTCGCGCATACGGCCATCACGCGGTGATCTTTGGTGCCCTCTGCGGGTGTCTCTCCATCCCCCTACCCTCCGCCCTGCGAGGCCTCGTCTACTGCGCCCTCAGGGACTGCCTGTCTGCTGCCACGCGGCTCAACCTGATTGGGCCGCTGCAGGCTGCGGGGATGCAGAGGGAGATGGTGAGGGATGCTGAGAGGATAGTGGCTGAAGTGGGAGGAGAGGATGGGGGTCAAAGATATGGGAGCGGAGGGGGTGGTGGTGGGGATGTGGGAGGACCGAGAAACGACCCCATGCCGCTATGCATGGATGCGGCATGTCAGGTGGGTCCCATGGTGGAGATTATCCAGGCGGGGCATGCAGCGCTCACCAGCAGACTCTTCCTCTCTTGATTGAACAGCGTTGACCAACGTTGACCAGCGTTGACTTTGTTGAGCAGGTCGTGATCAAGTGTCCTCGGGAGTGTCGTGAACAGTTAATCGGGTGTGGAAGAGAGGGGCGAGATGGAGGACGCACATTCTGGGGGGAAGGGACAGGCACAAGGAGGCGGGGGGGGAATTGGAAGCGGAACGGAGATACAATCAGAGAGACGAGCAGGTGGAGAAGCAGAGAGAGAAGCAGGGCAAGAGGCAGGTGCAGTGCGTGAAAGTAGCTCTGTTCATAGTAGTTCTTACGTGGGTGGGGCAGACGCAGAGAGAGAAGCAGAGCAAGAGGCAGGTGCAGTGAGTGAAAGTAGCTCTGTTCATAGTAGTGCTTACGTGGGTGGGGCAGAAGCAGCGGCTGTGGCAGCAACAGCAGCTACAGCTGCGGGCGCGGGTGTGCGGCGGGGCGGCATGGATTGGACTGGAGTGCTGGTGGTGGAGCTGGTGGGGGGCCGCAGCACGGCAACGAGGAGCTTCTGTCGCTACCCACTCAAGATCATGGTGCCCTCCAAGGTGCGTGGAGGCATGGCTCCCTATGTACTCATGACCAAAGCGAGCCATGCCTGTGTCTGATGTTTGCAAGTGTCTGATGCGCTGTGGCATGCATAGATTTGAAGCTTCTGTCTGAAATATCTGTCTTTCCCCTCCCCCGCCGTCTCTGAGACGTCTCAAAACACTTGTTCAAATATCTGTCTTTCCCCTCCCCCGCCGTCTCTGAGACGTCTCAAAACACTTGTTCAAATATCTGTCTTTCCCCTCCCCCGCCGTCTCTGAGACGTCTCAAAACACTTGTTCAAATATCTGTCTTTCCCCTCCCCCGCCGTCTCTGAGACGTCTCAAAACACTTGTTCAAATATCTGTCTTTCCCCTCCCCCGCCGTCTCTGAGACGTCTCAAAACACTTGTTCAAATATCTGTCTTTCCCCTCCCCCGCCGTCTCTGAGACGTCTCAAAACACTTGTTCAAATATCTGTCTTTCCCCTCCCCCGCCGTCTCTGAGACGTCTCAAAACACTTGTTCAAATATCTGTCTTTCCCCTCCCCCGCCGTCTCTGAGACGTCTCAAAACACTTGTTCAAATATCTGTCTTTCCCCTCCCCCGCCGTCTCTGAGACGTCTCAAAACACTTGTTCAAATATCTGTCTTTCCCCTCCCCCGCCGTCTCTGAGACGTCTCAAAACACTTGTTCAAATATCTGTCTTTCCCCTCCCCCGCCGTCTCTCTTTTCCGTCTAGGTCGCGGCCTCTGGGGTGGATGCAGTATGGGCATACATCATCACCTCTGGGGGTGGCATAGTGGCAGCGGACACATGTATGCCTCTTCCTTTCCTCCCATCTCCCCTCCGCCCTCACCTTCTCCTCCCTTCTTCCCTCCCTTCCCTCCCTCCTTCCAGGCGGCTACCTCTTGGATGGATGCAGTGTGGGCGTACATAATCACCTACCGGGGTGGAATAGTGGAATAATCCTTCCATTGTACTGCACACTGTCTCCCCTGACGCTTCCCTCTCCTATCCCTCCTCCCTCACCCTCTCTTCCATTTATCCAGGTCGCTGCCGCAGGGGTGGACGCAGTGTGGGCGTACATAATCACGTATGGGGGCGGCATAGTGGCAATGCAATACAGCACACGCTGTCTCCCCTGCCGTGCCCCTCTCTCTCCTCACCCGCTGCCGCTTCTCCCCCACCATCTCTCCTCTCCTTTTAGGTTGCGGCCTCGGGGGTGGATGCAGTGTGGGCGTACATAATCACCTATGGGGGTGGCATAGTGGCAGGGGACAAGGTGACGCTCTCCTGTGCGGTGCAGTGCGGTGCCACGGCCGTGTTCGCCTCCCAGGCATCTACCAAGATCTTCCACTCCATGCCAGGTGAGCGCAGTGCAGCCTGCCAAAGCTGAGTGCAGTGAACCAAGCTGACTAGGCGACTTTTTATATGATTTCGGAGTCGACTCGCAATTCCCCTCTCAGGCATCGCCAAGATCTTCCACTCCATGCCGGGTGACAGCATTCTGCCAACCTATCACTGACGATTATTCCACTCCCACTGACGTTTCTTCCATCTCCTTTTCCCTCATCCTTCTGCTGCCCCTCACTCTCTCCCCCTCTCTCTCCTGCTATTTATCCCTTCCCGTCTCCTGCTCTCTCAGGCACCCCACCAGCCCGCCAGCTCATCACCGCAACCATCCAGCCTGGCGCCTTGCTGGCGGTGCTCCCTGAGCCAATCACATGCTTCCGAGCGTCGCAGTACCAGCAGCTGCAGAGCATCCACGTGGCGCCAGGTGGCAGCCTCGTATTGGTCGACTGGCTGACGAGTGGGCGCCGGGATCGAGGAGAAGTGTGGGAGATGGAGTGTTACGAGAGCTGTAACCGCGTCTATCGGGAAGGAGAGGAGATCCCTCTCGTCTTCGACAAGGTTAGTTTCGTTTCATGCTTTCATTGACTGCCCTTTTTGAATGATTGTCTCCTGATTTTTTCTATCTGTTGTTTCAAAGCTAACTTCACAAAGCAGTCATATTTGGCACATCGGTGTTTCTATGTATACATACAGTCTGCTTGTTCTTCTCCATGCATCCAATTGCAATGGTGCAGGTGAAGCTGTCAGCCAATGCGGTGGTGCCACCTGGACAGCAGCTGGAGGGCATCCATGTGCTCACCACCATTATTGTCCTGGGGTGAGTGCTAGGTCACCCTCGGTATAATGGGTTGTTACTATATTTCACTTATTGCCGCAGATTGAGTGCGTCGCACGGTCCTTTCATTTACTTGTCTCATCTCTCACCACCCATACCATCCTTCCCCTCGCCCCTCCCTCTCTTCCCCTGAATCCAGTCCACGCACAGAGGCAATGAGTGCCCACCTAAAGGCAGCAGTCGCGCAGGCAGCAGCTGCAGTGTTCAACCCAAGAAGAAGCAGCAGGGGCTACCCCCCGTCTGCTTCTCCTGCCCCTCCTCCCACCACCTCGCACTGCCCTTCCCCTCCCCACTTCATCTCTCCCCACCCTGCTCTCCCAATCCAGTCCACGCACAGAGGCAGTGAGGGCCCACCTAAAGGCAGCAGTGGCGCAGGCAGCAGCTGCAGCGTTCAACCCAAGGAGGAGCAGCAGGGGTTATTCCTCCTCTGCTTCCTCGCCTTCCCCTTCTGCCACCTCTGCCCCGTCTGCTGGGTTATCTGGTGGTGTGGAGAGCACAGTGTGGGGTTGTTCGTCTGATATGGGACATGTGAGTATTCATGTTGGTGCATGTTACAGAGTGCTTACAATGTGTTGCTCTTTCCTGATCTATTGTGCTGCATATTCGTGTACGCAGTCACGTGTTCGTTTCTTTCTCCCGGAAATGTAACTGTTCTGTCTATGTATCCTACTTCACCTTCCATTGTTATGCAGGATGATTTGCTTGTTGTGCGCCTTGCTGCTGGAGACGCAAGTGCCATGTACCATTTCCTGGCAACAAACATAAATCCTCTTGTTCCACAAATCGGTTGCAATCCATACAAAGATTGAGCACTTCTTGCACTAACTTGTGTTCCATTCTAATGTTGGAAACTTCTAGGACAAGGAAGATGATAAATGTAGTCTTTCTGTTTGCTGTGTGATCATGCAACTTGTTATGGGTGCAATGGATCGAAGTAGCGAGAATTGCACTAAGGTGTCAAACGAGTACAAACTGTGAGCGAAGGCATGAGCGAACATTTATACGCGAAACATGCAAACGGTAACGCTGTCGGAGTACTCACTTATCCTTGCCAGCACTGTGTGGTTACCTTCTCTGCTCTCACCACATCCTCCTCTTGTCCCTTTTCCTTCCGTCCGTGATTGCCCTTTCTCAGTCCTCTCCTGCCTCAGCCACTCCCTGAGAGGTCTTGACTCCCATACAATGGCTACCCCGAGTGGCCTTGTCACCTAGCAGCAGTAGCTTAGAACGGTAACTTGCATCCACTATAACAGGTAGACAAACGAGAGAACAAGTCTGGCTCTGCTAGGCTAGACTACTAGTACTTGCTTTCCCTGTCGCGAATTATTCAGGGGCTGGGCTTGCACTGGAGTCGCCTGGGCTCTGGTTGGCCCTCGCCGATTTCCTGTCTCCCTAGGCCTCAAATTCTCCCAACATGCGCTTCGCAATCTTCTGAGTCACCAACTTCGCGTGATTCCCCAAGTCCTCAACTACCACTCCAATACCCTGCATAACAACTTGTACACCACCTACACCCCACATAGCTCTGAACGAAATATGCTGCAACTTACCAATATGTTTCGTGACAGCTGTCGGAGTACTCACTTATCCTTGCCAGCACTGTGTGGTTACCTTCTCTGCTCTCACCCCATCCTCCTCTTGTCCCTTTTCCTTCCGTCCGTGATTGCCCTTTCTCAGTCCTCTCCTGCCTCAGCCACTCCCTGCCCCCTCCTGTGCCCGTGCGCGGGCTGCCCGTGCATGTGTCACAGGACCCACTTGCTGAGGTCTCTGTCCTTTCACCACAGCTGCGTTCGTCTGGTGATCAACTGTCCTTTCCCCCTTTTCGTTCTCCAGCACCAACACCCCGATCCCCTGATCTCCTTCACCTTCCACCGCTCAGTTCCTAACCCCACATCCAGTGTATCCTTCCTGGCCCTTCGCAGGTACACCTCCTGGCCCTCCGCTGCTGCTGCTTTACTCTTTCTGCCTCCCTGCTGCTGCCTCTGTTCATATCTCCGTGCGTCCCTGAGCTGCGCTGTGTGCAGGTTTTCCAAGGCCGCCGGCAGCATCTCCCTCATGTACCTCGCCCTGGCTTCTGCTAATGCCACCCACTTTTCTGCTCCCTCCACTGATACAGTGTCAGTCAGCACCCGTGGGGCTCCCACTGGCAGAATTGGTTCTCTTCCAAACAGCAGGCTGTATGCCGAATGATCCTTCAATGACGCCTGCTTCCCGAATCGGTACCCGGCTGCAATCCAGTGCAGCTCCTCGTCCCAGTTCCTCTTCCGCTGTTCCCCGTACGCCCTTAGGTTGCGCTTTAGGGTCTGCACCAATCGTTCTGTCAAACCATCGCTCTGAGGGTGGTACCTTGACGTTAGTCGGTGAGTGATCCCTGTCTCGTCCAGCAGCGCCTGAAACTCTCCCCTAAACTCGGTTCCCTGATCGGTTAACACCTCTCCCGGCGCCCCAAACCTGCACAACACCTGCTCCTTAAAAGCCTTGGCCACATGCCTGGAGTCTTTGCTCGGTATGGCCCACACCTCAAGCCACTTGCTAGCGTGCTCTACCATGAGCAGGATGTACCGTTGCCCTCCCCTGCTCAGCGGCAATTCTCCTGCCAGGTCTAACGACCACCTAAACCCCAGCCCTCTAATCGGCAGCGACTGTAGCTCCTGTTTTGCTTGCATTAGATTCGCCTTGCTTCGCTGGCATCCCGCGCATCCGCTTACCCACTCCTTCACCTGCTTTCGTATCCCATCCCACCACCATCCTGTCTTCAGCAGTTGCATCGTTCGCTCGTGACCGAAGTGTCCTAAATTTTTGTGCACCTCCTCAATTACCCCCTCCCTCTCCCCAGGTGCTGGCACCAATTTCCAGCCGTCTTCTGACTGCAGTTGCAGCTGCCCCTGGTACCACCGATAGTGGTTTCCCCGTGCCCTTGCACGTTCGGGCACCTGCTCATCCCCCTCTGTTTCTCCCTTAATCCACCTCAGCGCCTCAGCGTCTTCCCATATATCCCGTGGTCCCTGCTGCTTCCCTGCCGCCTCTTTCTCCCCTTGCCTAGCCAGCATCATCAGCACCTGTACCGGCTCTGGTGGTGGTGGGTTCCTTGAGAGCCCGTCAACGTGCTGTAGTGTCTTCCCCGGCCTGTGCCGTATCTTGAAATCGTATTCGTGCAGTGTGACTGCCCACCGCGCATTCCTCCCTGTCAGTCCTTGGTGGGTCATCAACCACTGCAGCGGCTGGTGGTCTGTTATGAGCGTGAACTCCCTCCCCTGCAAGTATACTCTGAAGTGTTTCACTGCCCACACGGCTGCTAGCCCTTCCCCATGGTATGAGCTGTACTTTGCTTCCGCGGGGTTGCAGCTCCTGCTCGCATATGCCACCACTCTTTCCTCCCCATCTATCTCCTGGCAGAGTATAGCGCCCATGCCCTGGCTGCTCCAGTCGGTATAGAGGCAGAAGGGCTTGTCAGCCTTTGGCAGCTGCACTACTGTCGCCGTCTGCACCGCCTCCATCAACTCCTTTAACGCTGCCACCTGGTCTGTCCCCCACTCCCACTTTCTGTCCTCCTTCAGTAGTCCGTTCAGCGCTGTCGCTCGCTTGCTGAAGTTCGGGACAAACCTGCGGTAGTAACTCAGAAATCCCAGCACTGCCCTTAGTCCGCTCCTGTCCTTCGGCTGCTGCAGCCTGTTCAGCACCTCAATCTTTGCCTGCTGAATCCCTATCTGCCCTCCCCTGACCTCGTACCCCAGGTACTGTACGGTTGCCTCTCCCCATCTGCATTTCTTCGGGTGGCAGGTCAGCCCTGCATCCGCCAACGCCTTCAGTGTCCGCTCCACATCCCTCACATGCTCTTCTTCGCTCTTGCTGAAGATTACTACGTCGTCTATGTAACACGCCGCACAGTCTAGTCCCCTCAAGACGCTATCCATCACTCTCTAAAAAATGGCTGACGCGTTCCGCAGCCCGAATGGCATGAACAGCCATTCATACAGCCCGTCTGCCCCATGAAATGCCGTCTTCCGCACGTCCTCCTTCGCCACACTTTGAACGCGTGCACGCTCGCCAGCATCTCGCGATCATGTATCGGGTAGTTGCTTTCGGGCGGGTGAAGCTTGCGGGACTCGTACGCGATTGGCTGGAGGCCACTCCCGAAGTCCTGCAACAGTACTGCTCCGACAGCGATGTCGCTAGCGTCGGTGACGAGCTCGAACGGACGGTGCAGATCTGCGATGTGAAGTACGGGCGATGAGCACAAAATATTTTTGAGGGCCGAGAAGGCAGCTTGCTCTTTCTCCCCCCACGTGTACTCAACCCCCTTCCTCAGCAGATCGGTCAACGGGGCAGTCAGCTTCACCATGTCGGGGACGAACCGGCGCACGTAGTTGACGAACCCCAGAAAACTCTGCAACTCGGTCAAGTTGGTCGGCGCGTGTCATGCTTGAATCGTCGCGATCTTTTTCGGGTCTATTCCCACTCCTGCAGCTGAAATAATGTGTCCAAAAAACTCCAGTCGGTCCTGTAAAAACTCACACTTAGACGCTTTTGTCAGTAGGTGGTTCTCACTCAGGATCTTAAAAACTGCTTCGATGTCCTGTAAGTGCTGTGCTCTATCGGGGCTGAAAATCAGTATGTCTTCAAGGTACACTATGACGCACTTATCTAAAAGCAGGCGGAAGGCTTCGTTCATGGTCATTTGAAAAGTGGCGGGGGCGTTGGTCAGTCCGAAAGGCATGACGGTGTATTCGAAGGATCCGTAGCGTGTTTGGAAGGCTGTCTTAGGGCAGTCGGGTGGGTTGACGCGAATCTGGTGGTACCCTCCTCGAAGGTCGATTTTCGAAAAAAAACCCGGGCTGTGCGCATTTGGTCGATCAGTTCGTCGGCTCGCGGAATGGGGTAACGGGATTTTATGGTAACCCTGTTCAGTGCCCTGTAGTCTATGCATATGCGAAAACCCCCGTCCTTTTTCGGTGTGAACAGTATCGGTGTTGCGAAGGGCGACGAACTAGGGCGAATGAATTCCTTCTCGAGCAGGCAATCCAGCTGCTTCCGTAGTTCGTCCACTTCGAGTTGGGTCAGTCGGAACTGTCGCTGTACTGTTGGCTGTGCCCCCGGTTCTAATTCTATCCTGTGGTCGTGCGGCCGCTGAGGTGGCAGTCCCGTCGGTAGGTCGTCCGGGAAAATGTCGCTGTACTGCTTCAACAGTGCTGCCAGATCACTCGGTACGTCGGCTAGCAGTTTCTGTAAATCCCCCCCTTTGTCTGCTGGCTCGGCTTCCCGAATGTCAACCGCGTACACGTCAGCTCCTGCCGCTACGGTGCGTTTCATCGTGATCGCGTTGACACGCACCGACGAATAGTCAGGCGAGCCCCAGCAAGGTAAGGAGGTGTTGTTACCGTTCATTCGCACATTGCACTCACCCGTCGTCCAGTCGATTCGCGGATTGTGTCATCGCAGCCAATCACGCCCAAGTAAAATGTCGGTTCCGTCGAGGGTCGCTGCGAGCATTTCCTGGCTAAACGTGAAGTTACCCCCGCATCGAATCCGAACTCGGTCCACGCGTTCCCGTATCGCCAATGGCGTGCCGTCGACGAGTCTTGCGTCGATCTCAGGTAAACATATGTCCAGTGGCAGTTGCAATTTCCGTGCTGTGGCAGTGTTGATAAGGCTGTGGCTAGCCCCTCCGTCTACGAAGATTTTAACTAAGTCTGTCCCGATTTTCCCACTAAGCAGTATGGGGCTGTCTACCGTAGTACCCTCCTTATTCGGTCAGGTGTGGTCGATTGCGTAAACCGGCACAATCACTCGGTGAGGGCTGGTTGGGTCGGGCGAGCGGCGTGACTTGTCAGTAGAGGGCCCGTCTGCTACTGAATCCCACCGTTTCCCTGCTGCTTGGTCTATTTCTGCTGCTCAGCTTCTCCCTTTCCCTTAGCGTTTTCCAGGCATTCGCTCTTACGGTGTCCTGGCCGATTGCACGCAAAGCAGCGCCCTTTTAATTGTGCGGCAGCGGCATTTGCGGCGACGGCACGTATCGTTGCACCCTTGTTCGTCCCACGAGACCGATGTCCCCAATTGCTGTTTCCATAGGACCCCGGTCTCGGTCGGCGGAAGAAATCAAGTTTCTCCGCCATAGCGAGAATTTCTTGAAAGTCAGTGACGCCGCGGAGCTGGATTTCCTGAGCGATGTCCTACTTCAGGACGCCGATGTAGCGGTCGATGCGCTTGTGAAGAAATGAGGAATGAATGAACTAGCACAAGGTTGGGTACAAGCAGGAAACCCTAGAAAACTGTACCCCATAGTGTCTACCCCACTATAGCCTAGACAAGCTATATGATATAAGTTTGACACACCCCCATAGGCAAAGTGGGGGAGAACAAGAGGTCACAAGACCAGTCAAGCAAAGCAAAGCAAGCTCAGGGTGGATCACAACGTCACCACACAATCCGAGCACAAGAGCAAGGCCACAAGGCCAGTTCACATGCAAGATCATATATAAAGGTAAACAGGCAAGTGCAAGTATAGAAAGATCACAGTACAAGCAAGGTCAAGAAGTGAGCAAGTGAGGCCAAGTAGGCACAAGACCTAGCATAGTACAGAAGCGCTGATGATCACCAAGCGGAAGTGCCTTGGTAAAGATATCAGCAGTGTTGGCCTCAGAGGCCACGTAAGCAAGGCGCAGCTGACCACGCTGCTGCAGCTCATGGGCAAGGAAGTAGCGGAGAGCAATGTGCTTCGTTCCGTACTCCAGTCTGTGCTCCCGACACAAGGCCAGCATGGCCTTGTTGTCTACGTACAGATCTAGAGGAGAACGAGGCGGCTCTCCTAGGTCAGTCAGCAAGTAGGTGAGCCAGCGTAGCTCCTGTGCAGGCCCCCGCGTAGATCTCAGCCTCACAGCTGGAGCCGAGAATAGAAGACGAGCGGGTAGACCGCCACGAAACAGAGCCGGAGCCAAGGCTGAAGGTGTAACCCTGTGACGACTGCTGCGTAGCCTGGTCGTCAGCCCAAGAAGCGTCTGCGTGACCTGTGAGGACCACTTGACGTCGCCCTCCAAGCACTAGCCCCATGCCCGACGTACTGCACAAGTAGCGCAACACCCTCTTCGCTGCAGCCATGTGCTCTGGTCGGTGTCTCCCAGGAGCAACATAGCGTGCCAAGATGCTAAGAGGGTATGCAAGGTCAGGTCGTGTGCAGGTCATCAGGTACATGAGGCAGCCAACAAGCTCTGGGTACGGGCCACTCGGCTCTACGGACTCATCCGAAGGCAGAGCTGAGAGCGAGTGGCGAGTAGACAGAGGAGTGGCCTGAGGCGAGGAGTACGTGAAGTCGAAGCGCTGAAGGACCTGCTGCACCATGTGTGACTGAGTCAGGGTAATGGTGCGCTGTGCTCTGTCTTGGGTGATCTGCAAGCCAAGGTAGCTGCGCAGTTCACCCAAGTCTGTGCACGTGTGTCTCTTCTTCAGCTCGGACTTCACGTGGGCGAGTCCAGCAGTGTCAGCAGTGGCGAAGACCAAGTCGTCAACGTACACGAGGATGTAGAAAGGCGGGAAAGAGGTGTCGGTGCGCAGAAACAGCGACGGGTCGGCTGTAGAAGGAGCAAACCCAAGAGCCGCAAGTGTAGTCCTCAGTGTGTCGTGCCACTCACGGGGCGCCTGGCGGAGACCGTAGACTGGCTGCCGGAGGCTCCACTGGGTACCAAGAGGAAACGACCCAGTGAAGCCAGGTGGGCGGCGCAGCCAGATCTCCTCGTGCAGGCTGCCCTGCAAGAAAGTTGTGCTGAAGTCAAGAGAGTGAAGCTCGTAGTCGCGCTGAGCGGCTATGTGCAGCAGCACCCGAAGAGTGGTCATCTTCGGGGTGGGAGAGAAGGTCTGAAAGCAGTCAACTCCCTGCCGCTGACTGAAGCCTCGAGCCACGTAACGCGCCTTGAAGACAGGCGGACAACCCGGCGGCCGCTTCACCCTGAAAATCCACATGCCACTGACGATGTTTGCCCCAGGTGGGGGAACCTCGTCGACATAGGTGCCTGTGGACTTCCAGGAAGCCATCTCTGCGTCCATGGCCGACTGCTACTGAGAGGAGTAGTGACCCTTGATCGCCTCAGCGTACGATCGAGGAGTCGGGATGTTTGGTGCCTCCGGGTCTCCCTCAGGGGCAATCAGCGTGGACACTAGATGAGGCAAAGCAGCAGCAAAGCACCGGAACTCCTCCTGCCTGTCCTCACGGACGTCCATGCTAAGAGCACACTCACCCCCGACGGACGGAGGACAGACAGACTCAGACTCAGCAACAAGACTAGCACCGTAGTCTAGACGACAGCGAGCAGCAAAGTCGACAAGCTTAGCAACTAGAGCCGACGCAGCAATGGACTCAAAGGAAGGGTCAGTGACAACAGTAGCCAGGAGACGTGTGATAGGCGGACTGGCAGCACGAAGAGAGTCAGACTCCGGGTCAGCAAGAACAGGAAGAGAGGACTCTGGAGGAGACGGCAACGGGACACGCAGAGGAGCAGTGGAAGGACGCAGTGCCATACGGTGTGTGCCTGGGACCGCAGGAGGACGCGGACGCGCAGTACGACCACTAGTGCGAGCAGCATGAACAGGCGACGCAGGACGAGATGCAGGCTCACGACGCTCAGCAAGACCTCCAGTAGGACCAGTGTAGGGAGAAGGAGCAGGTAGAGGGGAGGCGGGCTGTAACTGTGACTGCGACTCGACAGGCGGTGGACACGCTAAGGGAGGGGCAGGACCAGTAGAAGGCGGAAGACCAAGAACCTGCTCAAGGAGCGGAACAAAGTACGGCCTTGGCGGTGCAGCACCTCCAGAACCAACACGGACAGCACCAGTACCTCCAGCGGCAGCACCAGCTCCAGCAGCGCCAACTCCAGCACCCTCAGACGCACCACCTCCAGCAGAAACACCAGCGCCAACACCCCCAGCAGCTCCAGCTCCAGCAGCACCAACTCCCGCAGGACCGGCAGCTCCAGTACCGCCAGCAGCTCTAGCAGGACCAACTCCAGCAGCCCCAGCAGCACCCCCAGTCCCAGCAGCTCCAGTACCTCCAGTACGAGCACCTCCGGGACCAGCAGCAACAGTAGTACCTCCAGCTCCAGCAGCACGGCTCCAGCGCCCGGCAAACCACTCGCGCAGCTCCTGCGGAGAGAGTGGCTCCCGCCTCGACAAAGCACCGCGAGAGGCCACACGAGCAGACCCAGCACCCCCAGGCTCCACACCCCCAGGCTCAGCACCCCCAGACTCAGCACCCCCAGGCTCAGCACCCCCAGACTCAGCACCCCCAAGCTCAGCACCCCCAGGCTCCGCGCCCCTGGACTCAGCACCCCAAGGCTCCGCACCCTCAGGCTCAGCACCTCCAGACCCGGCACCCGCAGGCTCAGCACCCCTAGCAGCACCAGAGTCAACAGCTACCTCTATAGGCTCGACTGCGTCTACCTGGGACACACCTGACGGGGCAGGACCCTGAGGGGGGAGGGGGTCTACCGGGGGGGGACCTGGCGCAAGGAAGAGCGGCGGCGGGGGGAGGGGCGCAGTGCGGTAGGGGAAGAGACGATAGTAAGGAACCGACTCGTCAAAGGTGACGTCCTGGGAGGACAGAACACGGCGCGAGGTGGGGTGGTAAAACTGCCACCCAGGCGCATCAAGGGGGAAGCCAAGGAAGACGGAGGGAACAGCACGGGGGGACAGCTTGTCCGCAGACAAGTCGCGGACAAACGCCTGAGATCCCCAGACCCGAAACGCAGACGCATCGCCAACCTTCCCCGTCCACCGCAAGGTGGGAGAGGTCTCTGGCAAGGAGACCCGGGGCTGAAGGTTGAGCTAATGCTCTGCGTACTGAACCGCAAACGGCCACAGAAAATGGGGGCAGCCGCATGGATCATGGACGTACGAGCGATGTCCATGACCATGCCAATGCGGCGCTCAGCTATCCCATTTTTCCGTGGAGAGGCCGGAAGTGTGAAGGTCTGGCAGATGCCCTGTGCTCGACAGAAGGCTCTTAGACAGGCAGAGGAAAACTCCCCGCCTCTGTCAGAGTGCAGACGCAGAACAGGAAATTCCGAGCCGAAACTCTCTCTGAGCTGGAGACGAGCTGCGCGGATCCAGTCAATCAACACCTCAGTGACCTCACCCTTGCTGCGCAAGGGGAACACCGTGGTGTAACGCGAGTAGTCGTCAACCACCAACAGGAAGTAACGCTCGTGCCCCTGGCCACGGACGCGGACGGGGCCCCACAGGTCCATGTGAAGAGTCTGCAGCGGAGCCTCTGTCGGAGGAAACTGGGAGGAGTGAGGGGCGGCGCGCTGTCGCCCCTCGACGCAGGGCACGCAGGTAGGGGCAGGCCCCAGAGGTAGGGTAGGGAGAGACCGGGGGAGACCAGAGACAAGGACACGGGAGGCCATGCCTCGGAGACGAGGCAGGGAGGGGTGACCAAGGCGGTGGTGCCAAAGGAGAGTCTGGTGGGACAGGAGACGACACGAGCAGGGAGCAGACTCAGGACCATACCTGGATGCTGCAGCAAACACCTGACTCGACGCAGCTACCTGACCAGACTCAGCAGCTGGAGGAGACTCAGTAGTAAGTGTGTACAGGCTCGACCCTGGCCGACGGGTGAACGTGGCCAAGTGTCGGCCCGTCCGAGCACACGTGCAGTGGGTCACCCGCTGACTCGCAGGAGTGAACTGGTCAGCCCCCCTATCCTGTAGATCAGCTCCACTCACCAAGTTCGTAGAGAACGAGGGGAGGTAGAGACCTGACAGGGTGCCAGAGGGGGCTGCCGGGCACGGTAAGACAGTGGAGAAGCTAGCAAGGACAGGACCCCCAGAGGGGTCCGCCAGGGAGACTGCAACCGGCCGACTAAGCGGCGTAAGCGTGGTGCGGTCTCGAAAGAAGGAGCGGGAAGCACCCGAGTCAAGGGTGAAGGTGTGTAAGGCCTGAGCCGACGTAGTAGCTGAGAGAGCAGACTCACCAGCACCTGGGGCAGAAGACGCACTAGCACCTAGAGCAGCAGCCTCAATGCCCGGGTCAGGCGGAACACAAAGGTAATAGTCACCCTCAACACTATCAGACACAGCATACATGGCAGCAAGAATAGCATCATAATCAAGATCAAAGATAGCAACCTCCGCCCTAGACAGCTCTCCCCAGCGAGGGATCTCAGTGGCGTCAGGGAACTGGTGACGCCACGCGTCCGTCAGGCGGCCGAAGCAGCGCTGGGTGGAGTGCGGGCCCCCGCACTGCTCACCAGCGCGGTCGCCGGTATGGAGGACGTAGGTGCAGGGACCTGTACCCCCACCGCGCTGACGCGCAGCATACCACTCACGAAGCTGCTGAGGGGACAGGGTCTCACGACTGCGCTCCTGCTGCTGGCGCGGACCACCACCGGACCCACTCCTCTGCGCAGAGCCGCGACCAGCTCCACCACTACCGCCGCCGCCTCCGCCTCCTCCGCCGCCTCCGCCACCTCCGCCGCCTCCGCCACCTCCGCCGCCTCCGCTCCCTCCGCCACCGCCGCCGCCTCCTCCGCCTCCACTGCCGCCACCGACACCTCCACCCCCGCCACCACTCCCACCACCACCCCCACCCCCTCCACTGCCTCCACCACCACCTCCACCGCCCCCGCCAGCCCCTCCAGCGCCCTTGCCCCCCTTGCCCTTGCCGGTGCGGCGTCTCCCGCTACGGGTAGACGCAGCGCCGACCGACTCGAAACCAACGAGGTCGGCCGCAGCAGCAGAAGCAACAGAGGGCAAGAGGGGGGAAGGGGAACACCCCTCAAAGACGGGGGTGCGAGGGTCACCACGAGAGGCTCCTACAGCGACTATGCTCTTCTCTGCTGCTAGAAGGCGCTCCTCGAGGAGGTCAACGGTGAGTGTGGTGGGGCAAACTGAGAGGAAGTGGTCCCTGACTAAGCGAAGGGAGTCAGGGAGCCGGATGACTGTAGTAGAGGGTGATGTAGATGGGGGGGGGGTTCTTGGCACAGAACTCAGCAGGAAGCGCAGCGCGGTAGCGAGTGTCACTAGTGCGGAGGTGGGTAATGAGGTCAGCAATTGTGGGAAAGGCAGCAAGGTCAGGGAAGAGGTACGGTAGCATGAGGCGGCTCAGCGCAGCAGTGGCAGGGGAAGAGTAGCGTGCAACTACAGCGTCGTACAAGGTCTTAGCACTCTTGTACTGGCTAAAGTGCGCACGCTCAGTGGTCGGTAAGTGGCGACGCACAGCAAGACGGACAGTAGCATCGCGTGTGGCCCACTGTGAGCAAACATTGCTGCCAGCAGTAGCAGGCGGGGAAGGAGAGGCACCAGAGGTGAGATCGAATTGGGAGAGTCCGTCTGCCCTATCGCACTGTAGGAACAGCTGGAGGTCATCGACCCAGACCTCAAAGTCAACAGCACGACCCTCAGCATCAAAGGTAAGGACACTGGGGGTAGCCATGACTGCAGTGGCTTAGCAGGGAGTGATCTCACCAGTCCGAGTAAGTAGGGCCGGGGCGCGCCGGTAGGAACAGTAGCGGCTCGACGGCAGGGCGGCTCGGCGGCTCGGCTGCTGGGCGGCTCGGCGGCTCGGCTGCTGGGCGGCTTGGCGGCTCGGCTGCTGGGCGGCTCGCGTGTCGGGCGGCTCGGCGGCTCGGTTGCTGGGCGGCTCGGCGGCTCGGCTGCTGGGCGGCTCGGCGGCTCGGCTGTTGGGCGGCTCAGCTGCTGGGCGGCTCGGTAGAGGCGGCGATGGGGCCGCTAGGGGCGGCGACGGGGCCGCGTAGGGAGGGGAGCGGCGACGGGGCCGCTAAGGGCGGCGACGGGGCCGCGTAGGGAGGGGAGCGGCGTCGGGGCCGCTAGGGGCGGCTACGGGGCCGCGTAGGGGCGGCGATGGGGCCGCGTAGGGGCGGCGACGAGGCCGCGTAGTGGCGGCGACGGGGCCGCGTAGGGAGGGGAGCGGCGACGGGGCCGCTAGGGGCGGCGGCGGGGCCGCGTAGGGGCGGCGACGGGGCCGCGTAGTGGCGGCGACGGGGCCGCGTAGGAAGGGGAGCGGCGACGGGGCCACTAGGG